TGCCCCTGGGTCCAACCCCTTACCCTTTTGTATACCATTTTGACAGAAAAGGTACCCCGTTTGTATACTTTTTAGAAGAGTACCCTTTTCACATACCTATTTAAGAATATTGCACGTCTTTTCTAAACCTTTGAAATGAAGTTAGTAATATAGAGCTTAATAAATTAAATGATACAGCCGTGTCATTTAATGATATACCCGTTAGGTATTAAAGTCCCTTTTAATACCTAAATGACAGATTTCCCTACCCTTTCATATACCTCAGCTTGTAAAATCCCTACCCTTAATATATCTGAAGCTTGAAAAAGGCACCCCTTTCAGGTGGAGCCTCCCTGTATAGGCCACTGTAGGGAGTAACCCCCCCCCCCGGGTGGGGGAAACTAGGGGACAAAGGGAAAGCATAAGATTTCCCTTCCTTTAGGAAACTTCACCCTTTTTACAATCCCCTTGCAAAGGTGGTCCAGCCGGATTATATGAGACTGTCAAGTTTTCTTTTGACCTGACTACTTCTTGAGAGCTCTCTTCATTTTCTAACAGACCAATTCAATGTTTTCACGCAGCACTCAATTTGCGGAGAAATTTCTTCTGTTTGGGGGAACTGTCTTGTTTCTGGCAAACCCTGACGAAGAAAATTCAAATTTAATACACTGTTTACATAAACGAAACAGCATGGATGAAGCTTTTTGCTTAGTTTTGTGATCAAGTAGCATTTACTTTGACCAATAATTCTCTGTTAGTTATGTGAAAATGATATCATTTGAAAACAAGTTAATCTGACTTTATTTGCACGAGAAAATGGCGGCGAAGACAAAGCGTGCTCAAACAATTGATATTGTAAACTTACCAGTTGATGGGGCCAGCCTTGTTTTCATGGTAATGTGTTTTGTCTCCTCGAAAATGTGCTATTAAGTATTGAATGACAACGGAAAAAGCTACAAATTTACGAACTAGCAAAACTCAAACCTCGTTGCATTTGCACACCTCGTCCCGAAATTTCGCACGCTTTTCCAACGCATGATTTGATCACGTACAAATCATGTTGAGTTTTCATGCAACTTGTTCGTCTAGATAGATTTTGTTCAGTTTTCAATCTAATTTTTTATGTTTCTTTTCTGTTTGCAATTCTTTTTAGCATTGGTTAAAGTGGCTTCCGTTCTTTCCTAAACCCGACATACGTATTTTCGACAAGGAAGACACCGGAGAGAAACCTTTGATTGTGAACTTTCCTTTTCAAAGTCTTCCCGCCGAAAAGCACGCTGTCAATCCCGACATTCACTACAAGCTTAGCTCTAAGACCAGAATCCCCGAGATGGGAGTGCCATGCCCTCGGCACATGTCACGTGATAATTATACACTTCCTTGTATGATAAAGGCAGCGCAAGGCCATGGAAACAGAGGAATATTTCTTGTAAGAACAGAAGAAGAAGCAAAACAAGCCTTCGACGAGCTGAGCAGTCACTGCGAAGTTGAACTTGTAGTGACGGAAGTCATAGAAAATATTTCCAAATGTCTTAGTACTCAGCTATATCTCTTTAAAAACGGACACTTTCATTGGCTGGGTGTGAAATGCAAAACGAACATGCCGTTTGCTAAGCGACCCGCGGGATTTATCCCGACTCCCGACGTTGATTGGAATGAACAGGAGGAGCTGAAAGAACAATTGGGTGACCTTGTACTACCCGTCACGCAATACCTTCACCGAAATGGCTACTTCGGTTTCACTGCCGTAGAAGTCTTAGTCAACGACAAAGGCAGTTTCGTTATCGACGTAAATCTTAAAATTGCATCAGCAACAAATCTTCTTCTAATAGCCCCACACATGGCTGCTTTGAATTACCCCGTTTCATACGTCATGGAAATTCTTCCTACTAACATAAAGCATTTACTGGAAGCTATAGACCATCTTAATCTTCAGGCGAAGGGAAGGGTGATTCTATTGGCACATGGCGAACTTTCTGTAGACATCCAACGCAAGGCTTGCGTTGTTGTCTTCGCGAGAAATTGCGAGGATGCTTTTAAACTTCAACGAGAACTAATCAAAGTTGCAGGTAGTGAATTTTCTCGCGTTACTGATATAGATCCTTAATGTCTTACTCAAAAGGACAACTTCATTCTAATTCCAGTAGCACTGTTTGGCTTCGTTTACCCATTTTAGATCATGTGACCCTCTCTGAAGAATCAGTGTTCCTATTCTTGTCTAAAAACAATACATTCGCCCCCCACACCCCCGTCCCCTAAATAGGATTTATTAAATTTTAAAGAATCATGCTTAAGACTATCCATCATCACATGATCTGAAATAGGTCAAGAAACAGATTAGCTTAAGAAATCTACTCCATATCAAGCCAGGTGGAATCAAATCCGTTTTCTGCTCGGATTATGACGTTTTCGTACGCGACATGTTCGGGAAATTTCGTGATTGGTCAATTAGAATCTGAAGCTCTTTGGGCATGATACGAAGTGTGTCGAAAGTATAGTTCTGTCTCGGCTCCGTTCCGTTCTCGTTCCTTCGCTGTTTAGACTAGTCATTTTTCAATTTCTGCTGCTCTTGTAACGGGTAAAAAATTTGCTTTACAACAATGCCCGGAGGCAACAGAGAGGTTACAAACAATACGTCTGCTAATCTGCATGTAAAGTACTGAAAAAAAAAAAGAATTCACCAATAGTACAAATTACCAAAAACTAACAAAAATTTTCTGCCGTTATGGAATTGTAATCGAAAATAAGTATTTATATCACGAATTATGATACAGTTTGAATTCTGCAAGCGCTCACATGGGCTAAACTATGTTTCACAGTAAAGCGTGTTTAATTAAGAAGCCTAAACCATTCATAATAAGAAAAAAACTGTCTCTCGTTCTTAAATCTCAGTTGTTTTATGACAGTATAATAATTGTTTAGATTTCTTTATTTGTTAAACAAAGCGAATCGAAATTAAGCTCATTCGCTCGTTTGGAAATCTCTCATGCCAGCAGGCCGAAGAAAAATGCCGTTTGTATGTTTATAATACATAATATTTTAAGAGGAAGAGACCTCAAATCACCATAAGGTGGTTTTCAGGAGGGTCCTCGGTAAGAGGCTAGGTCACGTAATTTTAACAGGACTACATCGCAGTAGAGGCCTCACGCGTCCCTTGGCACAACGAGGATGCATAATAATGAAATAGCAGCTATTTTTTGAATTGCATACTCCGAAACGTTTGGCTATTTTAAAGTAATGTAATAAATTTGACTTGTTCTCAGCAAGGAATTGCAGTTCAATAGTCCCTTCTGGACCGTTATTTGGAGAAGCGTTGCGTTACACCCAAGTACCGGCTCCGAAGGAGAACAGCATGAGTCACGCTTTGAATTATCTCCAAGTATGGAAAAGTAACATAAGGGGAGTTACAAGTTTTGTATAAAAATGGGTTTCTAGTACAGAACAGGCCACTGTTCATTTGCTAATCATTTGTGAACGAGATATTAGCCTTAAATTTGTTGTTAAAATAAAGTTTTTATTCTTGCTCCTAACCGAGCTAAACATTCGCTTCCCACTCCAGCAAATACTAGTCCGTACCCGAACCTCCTTGTCGTGCGACGAGCAACTATTCGTTTCAATAGGTTCTCATTTTTTCAATTAAAGCACTTTTATAGGGCCCTTATTGTATACCACTGTTGGTCCCTGGATAACGTTCCCGCCATGGATGTTATGTCTTTTGATCGACCATATAACCACCCTATCTCCAAGCGAGCATGTGGAGATCATATCAGACATTTGTATATGCGGTATTTTATTGAAATAAACCTTAAACTTTGCTCCAACTTAAGATATATATTACGAAATCTCCAATAAATAAACGCTTTAAAAAAGTGCGGTGTTTTCTAGTTACGCGATCCAACTCCAAGATGCAAGTTATTTCAGTAGCTGTCACCGAAGTCATAGGTCTGCAATGAAGGTTGTGTTCATTCCAGCTCGAAATTGAATCCTTGTTTTGTAAGCATTGCCTGGGTTTTGAAGCTGCCAAGGAGATACTCCCTTTCTGCGCGTTTTTCAAACACTGGTTCTCTCCCATTGGTTCATTAGAGTGCCATTTCGATATTTCCCGTTAGATTACGATAGCGTTATGCAATTTTCTGTTGAAATCACTTGCGTGACTCGACTCCTGTGACCTGAATCGCGTGACTGAATGAATACACTTCATCTGTTCATGTATGCTTCACACCTGTCTTACATAAATAATTTTGCATCCTTTACGAATAAAAATATATCACTTTGATCTGCATTGTACAAACTTATTCCTCTAAATCATGTCTAACAGTGTTTCTATCCGTTCCTGTTTCTAACACTCATCCGGGATGTAACTAGCTTCTATCCGGGAATGTGAGTTGCATCTTAAGCTTCCATTAGCGATCACTCTCTTACAAGCTGAACCTGTTTTTGTTTGAGCACCACAGCGCCTACGTGGAGTGGTCACTTTTCTACTTGGGGTCGAGGCTGCTTCTGGAAGGGATAGGTTCAGCTGGCGTTTGGTGTTTCCAACATGGCCTTGAGGTGTTGAAGGTACGACTGAATTGTCCAGATTCTCAATACTGTCTGTTATCGGAAAACAAATTAAAAAAGAAATTTAGAATTGTTCCACATGAGCAATAGAAAATGAAAGCATGCGTGGGTGGGTACAAACGTGCGTGCGTGGATGAGTGGGTGCGTGTTATGCGTGAATCGGGAGTCGGGATGATAGACCAGTCTGCGCTTTCTTCCCCGAGAACAAGAGCGCCTGATCGTTGGTTACCCATGATAGTTTGGGTTGGTCAAGGATTACTTGTTGACAAAGTCGTCTTTGATAATTCATTGAGACCGCAGTTTTAACTTAATGGCAAGTCCTAAGCACTGAACAAATTGAATCATCAAGGCTTTTGGAGTGCCCGTCGGTTGTTCACGATCGGGCAGGAGTCGGAAATCCTTCAAACACCACTGAGATTAATTTATTCATTCTTTAAAAAAAAAAAATACCCGGCAGCTTTCGATGGAGAAAGCGAGTGTGTAGGATAAAAATGATTCATATTTTTTAAATAGATGGTTAGGTGCTCCCAATTAGTAAGTCACATGTGGCCGGGCAGTAGTCTATATACAATGGTTACATTTTTGATTGACTGATTCAAAATTCGATAAAAAAATACATACTTGTTAAATTTAACTCATCTTCTGCGTCACTGGAGGTTTTATGTTGATAACAATGTATTACATTGCTGCCAAGAGGCTGTGAATTCAGTGCAAGAGGCGATGAAGGAGGGGCACAGGGAAGATTCCCGTGGGAGCGAAAATATTTTGTTCTTAGGTAAAAGTACAGCCAGTTTCCTGAAAGAAAACATAGTAAACGGTGTTAGCTTCCAACTAATTTTTTTGTATGAGCCACACCACGAATCTGGACGGGTAAGAAAAAAATTTTTCTTTTGATTGGCTGTACAATCTTTGATTCAATTAATCTGCCTCATCACCAGATTCCGCCCGTTGCATTTCATTGGAAAATAGGCGAGAAAAAGGAAACGCGGGGTTTGCGTGCAACAGGTCCGCAACTCCAAGCGCACCGCGGTCCAACCTAGGAAGAACCAAGGCCATTTTCGAGTTACCTTGTGCCTCTGTTTCAAAACGTTTTATATGAAAATGAGTCTGATTTGTTTGAAAATAAATCTGTTGTGGGAACACAATTTCACATAAATGGTTTCGCACGAAGACTCGTTTTGACATAGAGGCAAAAGCAACTCGGAAGTGGCCTATTGTCAACAACAACAACAACATCGGTTTATTTACTCTCGACACTTGATACACATTTGCGAGGAAATGAGGACGAGGTAAAAGCAGCGAATTCAGATGAGGAAAAAGACATTGCGATTTTTAGTAACTTACCAAGTAAAGCCAAAGTGAGTAGACACGACAGTGAGCTGTAAGATAAACTGGAGTTGAAATGTATTTCGGTCCAAGCGTTAATCGGCACCATGACCAACAGAACAAGCCGCGTGAATAGAGGAGCATTGAGGAACAAAATACACAGGGTCGCTGAGAGGAAGTATCCGGCATGCAACAAACACGTGGCGACCAGCGCTAGTTTGTCCTCAGTTCCTCCCAGGTACTGCGTCAACCAACTTAGTCTGTCATCGATCTTTTCTTGCATCTGATTGGTTACCTAGGAAGAAGAGGAAGTTTTCGATTTCAAGAATTTTTCCTTACGTAACCTCAATAACATATTACAACAAAACACCGTACGCCGTCGCCACATTATTTCAAGATACCTGAAGTAGATATGTGATGGTGTCGTTAATGATCTTTAGATTTTCCATAGTTTCGTTGTAGTGTTGCGTGGTCTCACTGTGGAATGACATCATCTGCAGAGTACTGTGGTCTATTGGGAAAAACAAAAAACTTATATACATACTTCTTATATTAATCTAGAACAATTTTGATTGGTTTATTATCCTTTTGGCAAGTGTTATGATTGGTTCCGTTACTACTACTTTCTGCAAAACCAGTAATTTTGTTTTCATGTAACGACTGCTCACCAATTTTATTCCATACTTCTTCCGCCTTGTTGCGAATGTTGTTTAAGTCTTCTAATATTCTTCTGTGGCTCTTTTTACGGTCCACATCCTGCTTCTGAATTTCTATTGTTGCGTTTTCTGTGAGATATCAAATTGCAAAGTCAGTTTTTGAAAGAACTCTTGGTTTTAATAGCTATTACCCATTCACGGGCCATTTCTCAATTCTTGCAATGTCAAACTGACACCGTCTTCTCTTTCAGCCGTATGATTTCAAAAAGGTTCATTGACAATACTGGTTTGATTTTGTAGAACAGCATTTGAAAAATGGCAGAACCCATTAGGAAGTGAGGCTGACAAACGAAGGCAAGTATGGTAACTGACTGCAATCTGGACAAACTTAAAAATGCGAGGTTCGCGTTTTCTTGTAAGGGTGGCCTAAATTCCTTTAAACTTTTCAAACATGTGGCAGGATATTGTTTTTAAGAAATTGAGATTGTTGAAACACACCAAGCAGAATTTTATCACCAACCTAGCTTTTCCTTGACCGTTTTCGCCATCTCCTTGAGCTGTCGTCGACCGCTATCTATCAACACCTTCTCGTGATGTAACGCTTTCACATTTCCTTTGAGAGAGAATGAGATAGACCGCTGGACATCTTCATAGTTGGAGTGCAGTTGCTGCTGCTGCCAGTTGAGGCGTTCCTGTCCAGCGGCTACTTTAATCACGGTATCCTCTGCCACTTCTGTCATCCGCCTTTGACTCTCCTGTGTTAAAAGAGTAAACCAAGGTTGCTGCTACAGCGGTTTCCCAATTCACGGTAATTATATTGGCAACGTACAAAATTACGTTAAATTGAAGGAAACCTGAAAATAATAGTTTACTAAGATAGAAAAACACCATAGAGATAATAATAAACCATAAAGGAACAAGGATGGTTAAGGATGGAGAACATCGATAGGCATTACAAAATGACGAACTTGAGAACTTAAGGCTAAACTTGTCAAGCTCGAAAACCTTGACGTAGCCCCTTTAAAATTTGAAACCAAAACGTAATGTCGCACCTAGCCAATCACTAAAAACGCAAAAAATGTTATGAACCAATAACTTGACACAAATGCATACAGCCGGTGCCAAGGGCGGGAAAGTGTGTAACCGGTGCCAATTAAGCGCGGGAAATTGCACGTACCTCTACACTGATAGGTTGAGAAAAACAGCATGTTTACTCCGATTGGTCAGAGAACGATGCGAAAGATCGACCAATCTGAACACGCGACAATAGCTCTCGTTTCGCGCTTTGATCCGCCCCCAGTATTTGACATGATCTAAACTCCAAATAAAGGGTTGCCTGACCTGTAAGTTGTTCATTAGATTCATCTGGTTTTCCGCTTGGTTAGCCAGTTGATTGACCGTGAATTCTGTCTTCATTCTGAACTGCTGTTGTCTTGTGGCGTAGCAGATGGATCGCGCCCTGTTACTAATGATGTGATAACTGTTCCACGTGTTGGCGTCCATTTCAGCTGTGCATTGTCTTAATTCCTTAAAAAATTAAGATCAAAACTATTTATCAGCAAAGGATTATGTTTTAGGGGTATGCCTATGAACACCTCCACGATTTGTAATCAATAATTCACTGCCTGACTGACAGACTGATCGTCTGCCTGTCTGATGGACTGACTGACTGACTGACTGGCTGACTGACTGGCTGACTAACTGACTTACTTACAGTGACTGACTGACTGACTGACTGACTGACTGACTGACTGTCTGTCTCGCTTGCTGGCCGGCTGACTGACTGGCTGAGTGTCTTACCACCTGAACGCCGACTGTCCGACTCACAGATACACTTGATAACTGGTAATTTGATTTATTAAAACAGGAACTGATCCGTTGCTTGCCAAATGATTGCCGGAATGAAGGACTAAATCAAAATTGGACACAACAAAGACAATAATAGGCCCTTTGCACGATCCGGTCACATGGTACAAAATCACACATTCTGGGACGCAACTTGCAAAGTGGAACTTCCAAAACAAAGCAACTCGTACCAGTCCACCTTGACCTGCCTTTTTTTGGAAGTCCCACTGTGCAACTTGCGTCCCAGCATGTGTGATTTTGTGCCATGTGACAGGATCGTGCAAAGGGCCTTTTGTCATTGAATAAACTTACCATCTCATCCGTGCACTCGTATGTTTTCCTTCCCTCGGATTTTGATTGACAGTTTAAGAGTGCCACGCCCAGCTTAGCTAGTTCAACTTCATTGATATCGCCACAGGATTTCTTGATTCGGTTGATGACCTAAGGAATAATAAACATCATTTACAAAACTTGACAACAGAATAAGTAGTAGGGAAGAAATTGTAATGGGCTGGCATTCCATGCTCGATCGGTGGGAATACCTACGGTCACTTTATACGACTGGAACTCTAGTTACACCACTTGGCAGACGCATTAAGCAAGTTTTTTCCTTTGGGGGAGGCAGGATGGAGTGGGCGGAAGAATGGTGTCTATAGATAAGGATATGACTTCATCAAGTTACTGACATGCCCTATTCCAAACTTGTCTTGATTAATTTGAATTTGGATTTCGCAACGTGGCAATGTGGATTTTCTTTTCATTTCGAACCTAGTTTACGCTGGTTTTGTTAATTTGTGACACTCGTTTACCTCCCAGTTCAAGCCCCGACCAGACTACACCTGAATAATTTGAAAACGGAGATTTATCTCTCCCGTTAGGCCTACCGTCCACACTAATGAGGTCACTTATCCGTCACGAAAACGGAGGTTTTCGAAAACACTTATCAAACCGGAGGAATTGGAAAACGCCGGCTTTGCGTTTTAGTGTGGACAGAGAACATTGTGTGAACGAAGCTTTTCGAGAACGATGATCATTATATTCCACTGCTAGAGTTTTACCTCAACACAAATCCAAAACGACCGGTGATTGTTGCGTTTTCAAATTTCTCCGAAGTAGTGTGGACGGAAAGCAATTGATGCGTTTTCGGATCTAGTGAAACTTCCGTTTTCGAATTCCTCCGGTGTAGTGTGGAGGGGGCCTTAGTTTTAATGAAATACTTCAGTACTTACAATCTGATGACACGAGTCCAGCGGGGTGAGGTCCCCCATGTATTTCCTTGCTTGGGCCAGAAATTTCTCCTCAGCTGTGGTCATTTCAAACGGCACTGAACTATCCTTTAAATGACTACCTTGTTCTGTATTAGCCTCTTCGGAAGACGAACTGGAAAACGGCCACCAGGCATTCACGTGTACAACCAAAATGCACACTAGTGTGCAAACGAGTAACGTTCGCTGTATAGACATTGTATAAACTCTGAAAATATGAACACGAAGGTTAGTCATCGATATTAGAGAGCTGTAGCAAACCACGACAGTCACGGCAACGAGAACGCTACCAAACAAAAGATTTAATGAGTAGAACAATGGCTGTACACGAGCGTTATAAATTTGCAGTCCTCTGCACATCAACAACGTCAAACGACCAAGTTCTGCGTATTTTAGAGAACGCGAACGACGGCTGACATTACCTATTTAGCTTGAGCAAGTTCTGAGGCCCATAGGCGCACTGAACAGATCTAGACAATTACGAAATTCGACGGTAAAAGATAAATTCATTTTTTACTGGACGTTGTCCTCGGGGTCGCCGTCGTCGTTGTTTAAGCTCCCTACACTAAAATGGTTTTAGTATTGTTTCAGACGCATTTCTAAAGCAGAGGTTTAACTACAGTTTGCTTTCTAGGGCGAGGCCGGTAAAATTGCCCAACCATTCTTTCGTTTTACCCAGATGTCCTCATGCTTTGACGCCAAAAATGCTTTGGAACCAAAACGTTTGTAATTTGCAGCCTGCATGAAAGGCCCAGGAATTCATGAGTAGAATATTTTCCCGTGTTTTATAGCTTTTACCAAAGGGAAAACAAGTTGTTCTTACCCAAGTATCATCTGCTTCAGTTTCTTCTAATTCAACTTCTGCAGCTTCTGGAACACATGATCGGCTTCTTCATATTTGCAAATTTCAGTTCTTCCACGCGCAAATGCACGCACGTGAAAATTCCACAACATGCGCTAATTATCAAATTATCCATTGTTGACGTTCGCCAATTTCAATTTTCGCGCGTTTTCCCATGTGAGTAGGCGCGATAATGAACGTCGGTAATTTATTTCCCCAAAATTTGAATTTACAATAAAAATTCTCTTGCAGTTGGGCTTCTCTTGGGATTTTAAAACATGTTCCACTTTGTTTTGTTTTGTCAGCTGGAAAGGTTGCAAAGGCATGGATTTTGGTCTGTTTTCGTCAATTTCACGTAAGCCTTCGCAGCAACGTGAATAATTAACAAAAATGGGTCCCGAAGGGTACATGTGTGGGATACCTCATTTGTATTAACGAACACGATCCGATGACAATAGTGTGGGATACCACACAAGAATGTTTTGATCTATAGCTGAGAGACTGTGAAGTATATATGGAATAATTCATATTTGAACTGCGGTTGTAGATGAAAGTGAAGAATGATCATCGCAGTAGATTTTCCAATTTAAGTAACTGGAATAAAAGAAGCCTGAAAAAAATCAGCCCTGGTTTTTTCAGGCTTCTTCTTTCCCATTGCTTGAAAATCTACTGCGATGATCATTCTTCACTTTCCGCTGAGGGACTGTTCTTCGTAAGTCCAAACCTTGAAAAGTAGTCAGATGTAAAGTCAAAACGTCCTTAAAGAAGCTCTGTCGCGGTATTATATTTTGAGTTATTTTGGCCAGGTACTAAAGTACCTGTTAATTAAAGGAAACCTGAAAATAAAAGTTTACTAAGATAGAAAAACACCAAGGAGATAATGATAAACCATAACCGGACAAGGATGGTTAAGGATGGAGAAGATTAACACGGATTACAATCGACGAACTTGAAAACTTTAGGCTGAAGATGCGCAAACAGTGACGTAGCTCCTTTAAACTACAACTGAAGAAACTGTTCGGCGCGCTCCAACCTCTCATAAAAGACAATCATGATAATAAGTTAAATCGACTGCATCTGTTATACTAAACTTTATTACAATAGCCTGAGAAATGATAAGACAAACAAATATCTTTGTATAAATGTCGCTGAAACTCGAAGCAATAATATTTTTTAAAACGAAATGTTCTGTACAAATATATAATAAAACTCTATTTAATATAGAAAGTTAAATTTCTGCAATAAATCTTAGTTGAGCAAATCTTCAAAACTGAGCGTTTTTAACGCCAATAATCGACAAATTAGTAAGCGCACGGTAATCAAATGGTGACACGTGAAATTATTTCTTAATTTCACGAGTAAACCATTTGATTACCTCTTAATATCATGGGTGACAAATTACGCTTACAATCGTGGGTTCTTGACTTGTTTATTTTATCGAGAAATTTCGCGCCAAACGTTGCCATGGCAATTTTGTAATTTCACATGTGAAATTACAAATTAACGCTGAAATTTCGCGCCAAAATTAAGGAGTAACTTGTCACCCATGATATTACCACGGTTATCAACTTATCTGGATGTAAAAGACACTTCATATATTCCAAAGGGAACAAATACAGTTATGGTAAGTAACGACTCTCGCCGTTTGTTAAAGGTTAACTGCCCTATCAGAGAACGCCCCAAAAGGTTCATCTCACCAGATGCTTAGTAACCTTCTGACCAAGAAACACAAAACCCTTGAACTCAATCGATTCACATTAGCTTAAGTCGATCTTACTTGTCGCTAAGCAACAATGCTGACCAAAAATATGGGCAAACCTTGGTTTAATCGATTTTTGGCGAATGTCATAAACCATTTTGGACAAAATATTTCGCTTGCGGAAAATACAAACAAGTTTGATCTGTGTACGGTTTTGTTTCCTCGACAAGGTATGTTTCTTTCTCTGCGCTACGCCACCTAAAAAAAGAAATCATGAATACTCACTACTGAATGCTTCGGACCTTGCTGATTATTTTATTTCACCAAAAAAACTAACCCTAAAACGCCATTTTACGAAGAAACTTTCGCATGAAGGTAAAGATAATAAAAATCTAGTTTCTTTTAAGCCAGTGGATCGTAAAGTAACGCTTCTGGAGGAGCGCCCTAAGTCTGTAACTGCGATCAGACGCTCGACTTAACACAAGCAATGCAGTAAAAACCCGCGTATAAGAACCTAAAATTTAAAAACCTGTTACGCTAAAATTTCTCAGTTAAGTACCCTTCACATTCTAGGCTAAAATCTCAATACAGGTTCTTAATTTCAAAATATAGTTTTTTTCAAATATAATACAGTACAATACATGCGACACAAAAAGGTAACAAAAACTAGCCAGAGCACTGGCAGTGTTATAAGACCTAAATATTACTGCACTGTGAATGATTCAATATAAACGTCACACCCATGAGTACAAGTTGTTTTTTTAAAACAAAAATTAAGAACCTGATTAAGAACCTAGGTAACCTAATTTCACAGTAAGCACCATTTATATAAGAACCTANCTGCTAGAGTTTTACCTCAACACAAATCCAAAACGACCGGTGATTGTTGCGTTTTCAAATTTCTCCGAAGTAGTGTGGACGGAAAGCAATTGATGCGTTTTCGGATCTAGTGAAACTTCCGTTTTCGAATTCCTCCGGTGTAGTGTGGAGGGGGCCTTAGTTTTAATGAAATACTTCAGTACTTACAATCTGATGACACGAGTCCAGCGGGGTGAGGTCCCCCATGTATTTCCTTGCTTGGGCCAGAAATTTCTCCTCAGCTGTGGTCATTTCAAACGGCACTGAACTATCCTTTAAATGACTACCTTGTTCTGTATTAGCCTCTTCGGAAGACGAACTGGAAAACGGCCACCAGGCATTCACGTGTACAACCAAAATGCACACTAGTGTGCAAACGAGTAACGTTCGCTGTATAGACATTGTATAAACTCTGAAAATATGAACACGAAGGTTAGTCATCGATATTAGAGAGCTGTAGCAAACCACGACAGTCACGGCAACGAGAACGCTACCAAACAAAAGATTTAATGAGTAGAACAATGGCTGTACACGAGCGTTATAAATTTGCAGTCCTCTGCACATCAACAACGTCAAACGACCAAGTTCTGCGTATTTTAGAGAACGCGAACGACGGCTGACATTACCTATTTAGCTTGAGCAAGTTCTGAGGCCCATAGGCGCACTGAACAGATCTAGACAATTACGAAATTCGACGGTAAAAGATAAATTCATTTTTTACTGGACGTTGTCCTCGGGGTCGCCGTCGTCGTTGTTTAAGCTCCCTACACTAAAATGGTTTTAGTATTGTTTCAGACGCATTTCTAAAGCAGAGGTTTAACTACAGTTTGCTTTCTAGGGCGAGGCCGGTAAAATTGCCCAACCATTCTTTCGTTTTACCCAGATGTCCTCATGCTTTGACGCCAAAAATGCTTTGGAACCAAAACGTTTGTAATTTGCAGCCTGCATGAAAGGCCCAGGAATTCATGAGTAGAATATTTTCCCGTGTTTTATAGCTTTTACCAAAGGGAAAACAAGTTGTTCTTACCCAAGTATCATCTGCTTCAGTTTCTTCTAATTCAACTTCTGCAGCTTCTGGAACACATGATCGGCTTCTTCATATTTGCAAATTTCAGTTCTTCCACGCGCAAATGCACGCACGTGAAAATTCCACAACATGCGCTAATTATCAAATTATCCATTGTTGACGTTCGCCAATTTCAATTTTCGCGCGTTTTCCCATGTGAGTAGGCGCGATAATGAACGTCGGTAATTTATTTCCCCAAAATTTGAATTTACAATAAAAATTCTCTTGCAGTTGGGCTTCTCTTGGGATTTTAAAACATGTTCCACTTTGTTTTGTTTTGTCAGCTGGAAAGGTTGCAAAGGCATGGATTTTGGTCTGTTTTCGTCAATTTCACGTAAGCCTTCGCAGCAACGTGAATAATTAACAAAAATGGGTCCCGAAGGGTACATGTGTGGGATACCTCATTTGTATTAACGAACACGATCCGATGACAATAGTGTGGGATACCACACAAGAATGTTTTGATCTATAGCTGAGAGACTGTGAAGTATATATGGAATAATTCATATTTGAACTGCGGTTGTAGATGAAAGTGAAGAATGATCATCGCAGTAGATTTTCCAATTTAAGTAACTGGAATAAAAGAAGCCTGAAAAAAATCNAATTCATATTTGAACTGCGGTTGTAGATGAAAGTGAAGAATGATCATCGCAGTAGATTTTCCAATTTAAGTAACTGGAATAAAAGAAGCCTGAAAAAAATCAGCCCTGGTTTTTTCAGGCTTCTTCTTTCCCATTGCTTGAAAATCTACTGCGATGATCATTCTTCACTTTCCGCTGAGGGACTGTTCTTCGTAAGTCCAAACCTTGAAAAGTAGTCAGATGTAAAGTCAAAACGTCCTTAAAGAAGCTCTGTCGCGGTATTATATTTTGAGTTATTTTGGCCAGGTACTAAAGTACCTGTTAATTAAAGGAAACCTGAAAATAAAAGTTTACTAAGATAGAAAAACACCAAGGAGATAATGATAAACCATAACCGGACAAGGATGGTTAAGGATGGAGAAGATTAACACGGATTACAATCGACGAACTTGAAAACTTTAGGCTGAAGATGCGCAAACAGTGACGTAGCTCCTTTAAACTACAACTGAAGAAACTGTTCGGCGCGCTCCAACCTCTCATAAAAGACAATCATGATAATAAGTTAAATCGACTGCATCTGTTATACTAAACTTTATTACAATAGCCTGAGAAATGATAAGACAAACAAATATCTTTGTATAAATGTCGCTGAAACTCGAAGCAATAATATTTTTTAAAACGAAATGTTCTGTACAAATATATAATAAAACTCTATTTAATATAGAAAGTTAAATTTCTGCAATAAATCTTAGTTGAGCAAATCTTCAAAACTGAGCGTTTTTAACGCCAATAATCGACAAATTAGTAAGCGCACGGTAATCAAATGGTGACACGTGAAATTATTTCTTAATTTCACGAGTAAACCATTTGATTACCTCTTAATATCATGGGTGACAAATTACGCTTACAATCGTGGGTTCTTGACTTGTTTATTTTATCGAGAAATTTCGCGCCAAACGTTGCCATGGCAATTTTGTAATTTCACATGTGAAATTACAAATTAACGCTGAAATTTCGCGCCAAAATTAAGGAGTAACTTGTCACCCATGATATTACCACGGTTATCAACTTATCTGGATGTAAAAGACACTTCATATATTCCAAAGGGAACAAATACAGTTATGGTAAGTAACGACTCTCGCCGTTTGTTAAAGGTTAACTGCCCTATCAGAGAACGCCCCAAAAGGTTCATCTCACCAGATGCTTAGTAACCTTCTGACCAAGAAACACAAAACCCTTGAACTCAATCGATTCACATTAGCTTAAGTCGATCTTACTTGTCGCTAAGCAACAATGCTGACCAAAAATATGGGCAAACCTTGGTTTAATCGATTTTTGGCGAATGTCATAAACCATTTTGGACAAAATATTTCGCTTGCGGAAAATACAAACAAGTTTGATCTGTGTACGGTTTTGTTTCCTCGACAAGGTATGTTTCTTTCTCTGCGCTACGCCACCTAAAAAAAGAAATCATGAATACTCACTACTGAATGCTTCGGACCTTGCTGATTATTTTATTTCACCAAAAAAACTAACCCTAAAACGCCATTTTACGAAGAAACTTTCGCATGAAGGTAAAGATAATAAAAATCTAGTTTCTTTTAAGCCAGTGGATCGTAAAGTAACGCTTCTGGAGGAGCGCCCTAAGTCTGTAACTGCGATCAGACGCTCGACTTAACACAAGCAATGCAGTAAAAACCCGCGTATAAGAACCTAAAATTTAAAAACCTGTTACGCTAAAATTTCTCAGTTAAGTACCCTTCACATTCTAGGCTAAAATCTCAATACAGGTTCTTAATTTCAAAATATAGAGTTTTTTTCAAATATAATACAGTACAATACATGCGACACAAAAAGGTAACAAAAACTAGCCAGAGCACTGGCAGTGTTATAAGACCTAAATATTACTGCACTGTGAATGATTCAATATAAACGTCACACCCATGAGTACAAGTTGTTTTTTTAAAACAAAAATTAAGAACCTGATTAAGAACCTAGGTAACCTAATTTCACAGTAAGCACCATTTATATAAGAACCTATGGAGGCTAACTTGAAGAAACCTAGGTTCTTATACGTGGGTTTTTTACTGCAGCAGTAATAACTTATCCCTCGCGTTTTGCAAGGCACTTTTTTGGCACCAATATCAAAAAAGAACACACCGCAAACTGTTTACGAAAATTTCTTCGTCTGATTGCGTTTTAATCCTCGTTCATCTTTTCAAAAAAAAAATCCGTTAAACCAAGTTAATCGCATATAAACGTAAATATCATCGTTTTGAGTCTGAAATTGTGGGTTTCTATAGATTTTTCATGTAAATATATTTTTTGTTATAAAACACTCTTTGGTAACTTTCGTTCGGTATTATCTTTAAAATATATAAAATAAATTCATCAGTAAATGATATCGTTTCAAAACATTTTCGAACAGGGTAACATATTGTAGCGTTGCCATTGGCTAGCAGTTTTGATTGATACTGGACGGCTTTTTGTTGGTTTTCAGAACTTCTTAACCAATCACAGAGCAAACAACGGCACGTGCATTTAAAACTCTTGACTTGTCTTAAAAACGTGACCTTTGATTGGTCAAAGAAAAGGAGTAAATGTACCAACACAAAGATAACACTAATAAATTTAAAACTTTATAATTGCTCGCCGCTCTTATTTCAATACCAAAGCCGGTTGCTTCTAAATTAAACTCTCAAGCTTTTTCCCTAAATCTTACGCTCTACTTTGCTGCGTTAAAGTTGGCTTAAAAGTTTGATACCATTTACAAGGCTTTAAGAAGTTTATGTTCAGTGTAAGCCGCGCTTCAACCAGGGCTGTGACTGGACAATCGAGAAAGACGTTGCTGATTGGTTAACAATCATAAAATGCTCGGGCACACGACAAAATCCTTCATGCACATTCACTCTACGGCTTTTTAATACCCTATTCGATCCTGAGCAAATGAAAAAAAGAAAACTTAAACTGATTTTACGGCAACGTTGCAGTTCTGAAATAAGAAGAGCGAACAATCACGGCCTGAACAAAGATTATTATCAATCCAGGTAAACTCAAGCTTGAAGTTATTAGTTTCAAGATCGACTTAGAAATCAATTTGCCGGAATAGGTTGATGATAAAATAAAACTATTCAAATACTTTCAGTAGAGGTCTGACTTTCCACACGAGGTGCCTGCTTTGTTTCTGGCCAGCGGATGCATTCCAGGCATGCCTTTCTTAGGTCGCGTAGCTGCAACTGTCAAATGTCCTTCATATAATCTGCTGCCGGATCTGAAGCTATCTGGGACACGACATCCATCAATAGACTTTGTGAATCTTCCTCTCCCACCCCACCCTCATCCACACCACTCTCGGGTTCATTGTCCACGTCTGTGCCTTCTGTTTTGATGGGGACAGGGGTGGGGGTGCAGGGGGGAACACTAGAGAGCCTAGTCGTGCTGTCATCTTGTTGTTTCCCTGTATCATCTGGTACCTCAATTGTCTGTGCATTCAATAACGCGAAACGAAACGTTAAAATTTCGTTCAGTTTTTTTTTGTTTTCAAACTTTTTCGAGAGAAACACCGGCAAGGATACAGTGGAACCCCATTAATCCGGTCGCCAAAGGGCCACAAAAACAATAATCTGGCCGTATTAGAACAGATAGGAAAACAAGTGCCGATAACTTAAAACGATTAGAACTCTCCGATTGTCTTATCAGAAAACAGAACAAGTGCTTTAGAAAGTTGTCAAGTCATATACTAAACAACATCATGGGCTCAGTTTTAACTGGAAAAAAAAGCTGTTGGTTCAAGGACTGTGATATGGTTGAAAACCGCAACCGGCTTGGGTTGATACGGTTGACGTTCCCAATAGAACACTTTTCTAATCGTTTTTGGTCAAAATGAGGTAACTCCTGGGAAAAGTCCTTACGCGAGCTATAATCACGCAAATGTTTTTGCAACCTGGTTTGAGGCCGGTTGAAAGAGTTGATCAACCAAAGTATCCAAAAAGGATTTTTCCTCAATCCCAACCAATCCAACCAGCCAGAAGCAGTTGATCCCAAAAGAGCACGACCTTAGACGGACAAAACTCACCGTATTAAACATCACATAACTGCAGTAAGCCACTTCAAGCATCTGCTGAATGACAAACTTAACCAGGCAAAGAAACAAACCCACTCACCTTCAGCTTGTCCTGAAAGGAGTCCACATAAGTACTTTCTGATAAGGAGCTTGTCTCAGAGTACTCAACTGGAATTTCTGAACTGCGTCTTTCTTCAATGTCAAGTATGTTACTGCTAGCATTTCCTTCTAAAGCTTGCCCCGTCAAAGGGGATTCCTCGACTTCTCTTTTATCCATGGGTTCTTCAATGATGGGTGAGTGTGGGAGGGCTGTTCCTGTTGCTGCAGGATTTTTCATTTGACATAAAACCTGTTTAGACTGGTCATATGCTACAGCTTCAGTAGGTGCTTGTTTTTTTATATTTCTGGATTCTCCAAGAGGTGATGTAGGAGGAGCTGGAGATTTCTCAAAATGTACTTTGCGATTTACTTTGGGTCTGTTGAAAAATGAAACAACACTCAATAGGGAGTAAGAGACACATTATGGTCACAAATGAGCATGTGTTTATACCGCATGCTTCAAGGAGCAACTTCACGGTTTGTGTGACTTGAAAAGTTTAACCTAAATATTTCAAGTTTGTCATTTGTAATCCGTGTCAATCTCCTCCATCCTTAACCATCCTTGTTCCTTTATGGTTTATTTGGTGCCTTTCTACTACTATTTTTAGGCTTACTTGTTCGGTCTACATTCCTTGCTACTGGGGAAGAGCATGGGCTTCTTTCCCGAACAGCGATTGGAAATTGAGCCTTCACATGGCCAAAATAACTCAAAATACCATGACTGAGCTTATTAAATTATGATAAGATATAAAGAAAAATCACCTACTTGGTCTTGGTTTTCTTCTTATGGGGCACTACAGTTCCTTTGCCAAGACTCCTATATAGAATGTAAACAAAGGAACATCAACAACTCAGTAAACATAACCAGCTGTACAGACACAACAACTAAAAGAGGATTTAATGTTTTTTTTGATTTCTTTTTTTTTTGTATTGCATACGAAGAGATGTCTTTGCTAACACTGCCAATCAGGAATCCTACTTGGTTTTTGTTTTCTTCTTATGGGGCACTGCAGTTCCTTTGCCAAGACTCCTATATAAAATGTAAACAAAGGAACATCAACAACTCAATAAACATAACCTGCTGTACAGACACAACAACTAAAAGAGGATTTTTCTTTTTTGTGTTGCATACAAAGAGATGTCTTTTCTAACACCGCCAATCAGGAATCCACTTTTTTGTTATTAGGTACCAAGTGTCTGGTAAAGGATCAGTTATGAAACAAAAACCAATGAAGTACCAGCTGAGCTTCCACCTGAAAACATATCTTCACACACGAAAATAACATATGATCACATGTGAAAAGATCACCATTGCCATGGTTGCATAATAAATGGCACCTTTTGCAGCAAAAGTGGAAGGGATTGGGATTTCATTGGTGTTGATATAACAAATAGCACATTACATGGCCACTTGGAGATACAAAATTTCTCTTAGAGTGTTGAAAAATGTTTCACTCATTTGCTGTACTCACTCATGAAATATTCTGCAGCACTCAAAGAGAAATTTTGTATGTCCGCAGCTATGTTATATCCTCTATTTATTATACAGGATAGGTGACAAGAAAAAACAGTACAAAACCATCAACCAAAGGATAAATTATTGCCTCAATATACACCACAATCTCATACCTTGCAATGTGACTGCTGAAATCTTAATGATTAAAAAGACAACTGTACAATGCCTAAATGTCAACAAAGTAACTTACATGATCTTCAGTGGCCAGGTCTCAGGCCACTCCACAACATAGTTTAGAGAAGTTGGTTGGAATGCTAAGGTTCGTCTGTTGTATCCAAAGGGATTCATGCTCATGTTATGATTGTGACGAAGATTCTCCACTCCTGCTGACTAAAGAAAGAAGATGACGACAATCTTTTGTCTGCAAGAATGTGAAATCTTTACTTGAAAAGCTTTACAAGATCCAAGATCACTTAACTCCCCAGTAGCCTTTCTCAAGGGATGAATTTTTAGAATACCTCCAAGTTTAGCATGACATAAGTAAATTCAAGATGACAAATGGAAAGAAAAAAGTTAACTATCTTCACTTCCACGCTTTGAACGTTGCAGAGTCTTGACATGTTTTCTCTGCTCGATTACCAGCCACTGGTTCAGGAGAAATGCAGCTGGACCTAAGAAAGTGGCAGAAATCAAGCCTATATGTTTTCACGACTGTACAACTCTGCAACTTAGCCAACTTCTCCCATAAAATATATTATCAGAAGCTTTTGATTTTGTTCATTACAAATTCTGCAGTTCAGGTTTGACCCCAAATGTCATGTACTAATGAACAAGTGACAAAACTTGTCAGTAAGATTGTGCCAAGTGATTTGTCATTATGGGTACTTACAGGGCTATCAGACCAGCCACTAAATGAATAACCCAGTCTGTCTTGATTTACGGCAGCATTCGTCCCTTGTGACTTGACAGGAGGAAAGGTCAGGTTTAGCCGTTTGTCGGCCTTGGCCTGCATGTACAGTGCTGTCTTGTGCTCACTGTCATCAATAGCATGCTGCAACCCTACATTTAACCTGCAAAAGACACAAATTTATGCAAAATGATAAATAAAAAAGTTAGCTTATTGCAAACTTTTCTCTCTAAAAAGTTCTAATTAAAGGTCTCTCTAGCTCAAGTGTTAATTTTCAATATAGGAGTCAGATTTGTGTGCCCTTTCAGGAAGCAAAATTATCTGGGCTCAGTATTTCATGCTCCATACTTACAAGAGTGTCACTGTGCCTTTTTTTAAATTTCTGTTTGCCTTCTGATCTGAGTTGTTGATTTAGTGTTACCATACAGAGAGATGCTTTCTTGGAAAAATAAGTCCAACATCACCAGAAACGAATTATTCATTTCTAATGATATTTGACTGAAGTTTTCTAAGTTTAAACTAAACAACCCCAAAACTCAAATT